AGGGGTTGGAAGTTGGAAATTAAGACAATTCATAGGTGCATTAAAGTACCCATTTCTTGACAGTAGCAACTACTTCAGAGTCAGACCACTCTGAGTTCTTGAAAACGATATCGTTTCTTGAACTGATTCATTTAAAAGTTATTATATACCTATTAAATATTTAACTTAAATTCAATATTATTATATACGTCAAAATAGATTACAATATAACAAAGATTGATATTATAAATAGCGATTACTTCTTGAAACTTTAAATTTTAGTCTTCCCGAGTTTCAAAAACATTGGTGGATCACGAAATGTATGCACGGGCATACACACTTAGGTTCGATTATCATTTTCCTTCTCTAAAAATGTCTATTGTTTTCTTAAAAATGCTACTTAAAGTTCTAAAATGCACAATGTCTATGGTATAATAAGACGTTTTCCCATTTTTATATTATTTTAATGATTCTAGATTAATAAGTAAATATAATAACGCATACTTTAAAATTTATAGGAATTGTATACACATATTTTTAAGTTCTCAACAAAACTAATTCCCAAAATCATTAATACTTCAAATAATAATGCTTTGTAAGTAGATGGAGAAAGTTATGTATCTGGCCTAAGTTTGCGCTAGTAGTCGAATTTTTTTTTTTTTTTTAACGTATTTTCTTTTTGAGTTTCAACAAAACTTTCGTCATTTTGTTGGACTTACTTCAAAAGAGAGTAGATCGTCTTTTTCTTCGTTGCCGTTGCCCATGGACCTTTTAGAATGTTGATTCTACCACATCAAAAGTGTGAACATAAACCCATCAGATGTCAAGCCTAATTACAAGAAATTTCACATTTAACGACGCATACTCTTAGGGTCCGTTTGATTCAAAGATGAAATTTGGATGGAAAGAAAACGAATTGTAGGGAATTGAATTGCATAAAACTTGTTTTACTGAGAATTGTCAATTGATTGTGTTTGATTGGTATAATTTTTCACCTGAAAAATGTTTAAATTTTTTATTTTTTGGTGTTCGTGTGACTTTGTTTTTCATGAAAATTGTCAATTAAAGGGATATAATTTCTTACAATTTGAGACATAATTTGTTTGGATTGCCAAAAAAGAATTGGAAAATTTTGGTATTTGTTTGGCTTTATTTTATATGAAAATTGTCAATTAAATGGATAATTTTTTTTTATTTTTTATT